TCAAATAATCGAGATCTCAATTTCAGTGAAAATAATCGTGATTATCATTTTTGCCATAATCGAGCAGCCCTAGTTTCACCTAAGGTAACTGAGCATCTGTCTGTCTCTTTTTCAGCTTGTCTATCTGGTCGGTCTCCTGACTGCACGCTGGTCCAGTCCAAAGAAGATGACTTTGACTGGGAGCAGGGAGACACCCGAGACCGATTGGCCACCCCCTGGATCCCTGCAGGTACTGTTTGTCTTTCTGAAAGCACCGTCAGGGCCCCGCAGTCCTCCTGCAGTCCTCCTGCAGTCCTCCTGCAGCTCAAAGGTTCCCCGGGTGCTCCTCAGCACGATTCCCTCTAAGCTGAGCGCGTGACTGCTGACAGCGTCTCCACGTGCAGAAAATCAGCGAAATAAAATAAATACATGTATTTACTTTAATTCCAATTCAGGCTGTATCTTTTTTTTGTGCGCAGCGCAGATTTTCTGTGTGGGAACACCATGTCAGCAGTGTGCGATTGCTCATGCGCTCAGCTTAGAGGGAACATTGCTCCTCAGGGAACCTTTCTGGGTCTCCTGAAGCTGGGTCTTGGTGGTGCATGCATGTCTTCCTCTGACTCTTAAAAACCCTGAAGCAAGTTTGTGTTGTGACACACATACATTGGTCATCAGCATATCTTTGCCTCTCCGGTTCTGCTGTTGCTCATTTAACCAATCCTGTGCTCGATGAGCCGAGGCTTATAAGTACTTAGTGTTTACAACAAGGTGCAATCCTCTGGGTATGTCGTTAAACAGCTCGAAGAGATGCTTGAGTCTGAAAACAAACTCTGGGCTACTGAAAGCAGGAACGCCGCTCTAAATGGGAAATGGCTGCATCAACCAGGTGCAAGCCTGATCCAATCACAGAGCGCCAGACCGAGCTGTGTACGCATCAGTCTACAACCAAGCCCCCAACCCTTTGTCAGACACACGGGCTTCACACCAACGCCCCTTTAAATGGCATGTTTATGCTCTGCATGCCTAATGGCGTTACCTGTCACTGCGTGCCACACACCTGTAACACGGTCAGTTAGGCTAACCTCGGTCGTGACCGTAATTCGTCCCGAGCAGCCGAGGACGGCGGTCGTAACCAGACAGAGAGGGAGTGTTCTCCCTATAATCAACTATTGTACAGGTCCTTAAACACAGCACTGCAGCGCTTTGCACCTGAAGGCAGCACTGAGGGAAAAGCTGCTGCAGCCTTCCTTTTGTCTGCTATTGACCTGCCACTGTGTGTGTGTGTGTGTGTGTGTGTGTGTGTGTGTGTGTGTGTGTGTGTGTGTGTATGCGAGCCGCCATTTGTCACATGCTCACAGAGGGGGCCCTGCTGACGAATGAGAATGCAGCACTCTTAAATCACAGAGCCAATCACGTGAGAGACAGGCTGACCGAGGACACACAGAAAGGAGGTGGTTACGCAGTGACCTCTCCGTTGCCAGGACAACACCTGAACATTGTGCAGGTGTTGACTTATCAGCTGAGCTAGCATGGTAATTAGTCTGTATGGGAGCAACAGACACCGGCTAATACCGGTCCAGTTTAGGTGAAGTCGAGCATAACAACAACCAGCTACTGCTGGTGACAAATTCATAGATGGGTATAAAGGTCAAATGTAAATGAGGATTAATGCAGCACTTTTCCAGCATTAAAGTAACTGATCCAGAGTTCAAAGGTCACAGTGTCATGCCAGCGCTACGACCATCCTGGACACAGATCACAAATTTGGAGTCTCTCCC